ATATATATATATATTCATCATGACTTGGCTGTGCCCCTGCTCAAGGTTAATTTTCCTTTTCCTTCCCCATTTCCAAGGTTTCCTTCCTGCTAAGGGAAGCTGGAAAACAGGTCTTCATCCCTTGAAATCCCACAGTGCCATGGCAATGAGCAGCTGTGTCCAGAAYTGCTCTTTCAGAAATATTTGATAAACCCAGTTCAGCATCCCTGGACTCCTCATGGACAAACACATTAAAGCCATGTCCCTGCCCCAAACCTAAGCGCACTTCCAGGGAATAAATGGGGTGCTAGGCACTTTTGTTTGTTTCCACCCTAATAACAACATTCCCTGGATTTCCAAGGGCTGTGAGGGAAGAGAGGGGGTTCATTGGATGCCATAGGTCATCCTTGGATGCTCCTAGGATGGAGCAAAGGGTGCTGAGGATCTCTGGAGCCACCTCCAAGGGCATCCAAGCCAAGGCTGCCTCATCCCACCCTTGCAGATGCCTGGAAAACTTTCTTGCCCTGCTCCCAGGAATTGCTCGGAAGACACAAACAGACCCAGGATGAAACCAAATCCCTGAGATGAATCCAGAGAGAAGCACGTGGTCAGGCTGGGGCACTCAGGGGGRGTTTCCTTCCTGGGAATGAAGGCTGATCCCTGGGATTCCCCTGGAGACCACGGCTTCTCCTCTGATTCATGGGTGACAACTGGAGCTCGGCATTGCCCAGCTGCCGTTCCATTGGGATGTGCTTTTGGATCCATAAACATTCCTTGTTACCCAGGCTGGAGCCAAATGTTCCCTGGGGGCTATTCCAACCTCTGGAGTTTTGGAAGGCTGACCTATTTCGGGATGAGAGGGAAAGTGCTGGGCCAGCCAAGCCACCATTCCCAGAAATACCCACTCGTAAATAAAACCTGAACCTCCAAACATTTCTTCTGTTTGATAGAAGATCAAGCTGATATTCATGGCTGATAAATGAAATCCTGCTTCATTCCCACTTTTCATCCCTCTGCAGGGAAGCAGAACAAGGATGTGTGAGTTGTAGGTCTTCTCCTTCCATGTCCTGCAGCAATTCCTGCCTTTTACAGCAACAACCAGCCCTGATTATATTTAATATCCCATGGAAACCCTGCTCTGGGAAGGGRCTTCCCAAGACACAAAGTCCAACCTTTTGTTATTGCTAGAAAAYAACTGATTTATCCAACTTGGTGTCTGCTTCCTAAAATTCCTTCTCTCTATCCTAAAATTATTCAAATCTGTTTATTCCCTTTCTTGGATCRGCTGGGATCACATTCTTCTGGGTGCAAGGAGCAGAAATTTTAATATTTCAGTAGATGAATTCAATTTAGATCTGATGGGTGAAAGGGGAGTKTAAAATAATCTTGGAGCAAGGACACAGCCTCTGGAATATCAGAATGGGAAAGACAAAGTTCCTGAAGAACTCAATTCTTTTCTAAATCCATTATGTTTGTTAAAAGGTCTTTGAGGAATAATTTGGTTTGGTTGTTAAAATGAATTAAACCAGGCAAAAGGAACAGGAGAGGCCATGGKGCACTCAATAAAATGTACTCTCAGATAAACTAAAACTCAAACAGAACAAAATGCTCTGGGTTGGATCAGGGGTCAAAMGGGTGCAAATATTTCCAAGAAAAAGGAAATAAATAAAGAAGTTSTTCAAATATTGTGGCATTTCAAACTTAGGACTGAAATGATGCCCTTTCCTCATGTCTAAACTTTATCTTCCAACACAGCTGATAAACAATAATTGATTTTTTTTTTTTTTTAATCTGCATATATTAGGCCAGATTTAATGCCCATAAAATTTTCAGCAGCACTGCCTTAATTAGGGWAAATATTTCAGTAGCAATTCAATTACCAAGCAATTAAAAACATGGAGTTACATTTTGGAKTCTTGAAGTTTTCTGTAAACTTTAAAGCAGATTAAATGTGTATTAAGGTAAATTATATTTTGTCCAAGAGGCCAGAAAGAAGTGGGGGGACTTTCGTTAAACCCCAAAATTCTAACATTATTAATGATCAATTATATCTGWTTTTATATAAATATAAATTGATGTCTTCCAAAGGAACCAAATCCCGCTGTGTTTTCCCCCGGTCCATTACTCCATAAAAACAACAACTGGGCTTAGCAGGGAAGAGCTGGAATTGCAAATCCACCTGGATTCATTTCTATCATGAGGCATCAGCTCTTGAATTTTTAACTTCTGGAATTTTGAACTCCTGGAATTTTTAACTCATGGGAACTGCCAGGACTGCAGGGTTGCACCMGGACAGAGTCTCCCTTGAGCAAATTCCCTTCAATTAACTCAAATTTCAAATTTCAAAATCAAATTTCAAATTCAAATTAATATCTAAATAAGAAGCTGCAGAGAAACCTTCCCAGTATCCACTCCCTGCTGGAAGCCTGGATGGATAAACCCAGGCGTGGAATGGGAAGTACAAAAGCAGCTGAACGTTAAAATTAAATTAAAAGGAGAATTCTCTGGGTTTTTTTTGCCACAGTTATTTCATATTGTTAAACATATGTTATTGTAATTAGTTAAATATCATTAGAAAATCCTTTTGAACCCAGAGCATGGATTTTAGAGCACAAATCAGAGCTCCGGGATGGGTTCCCAAAGCCTGGTCCATCCCTTGAGGCAGTTGTCCCCCTCCACATTCCTTCCTGGGAGGAAGAGCGTTTCAGCTCCCTGCTTGGGGGCTCTTTAAACTCCATAAACCAGCAAGTTCCAGGCTTGGAAAACGGGTTCATTCCTGGTATTTTGGTTGCCATCCCCAGGCTCTACAGGACGTTCAAGGACAGCAAGTACCTGTACATGCTGATGGAGGCCTGCCTGGGGGGAGAGCTCTGGACAATTCTCAGGGACAGGTGAGGTGGAAACTTTTCTCCTGCAGGGTGGGATGTTTCTGAATGTCACAGAATTCCTGCTGGTAGGGTTGGGAGGGACCTCAAAGCTCATCGCATTCCCACCCCTGCCATGGCAGGGACACCTCCCACTGTCCCAGGCTGCTCCCAGCCCCAATGTCCAGCCTGGCCTTGGGCACTGCCAGGGATCCAGGGGCAGCCACANGCCATGGCAGGGACACCTCCCACTGTCCCAGGCTGCTCCCAGCCCCAATGTCCAGCCTGGCCTTGGGCACTGCCAGGGATCCAGGGGCAGCCACAACTTCTCTGGGCACCCTGTGCCAGGGCCTGCCCACTCTCCCAGGGAACAATTCCTGCCCAAAATCCCATCCATCCCTGCCCTCTGGCAGTGTGACCCCATTCCCTGTGTCCTGTCCCTCCATCCCTTGTCCCCAGTCCCTCTCCAGCTCTCCTGGAGCCCCTTTAGGCCCTGGCAGGGGCTCTGAGCTCTCCCTGCATCCTTCTCCTCTCCAGGTGAGCATTCCCAGCTCTCCCAGCCTGGCTCCAGAGCAGAGGGGCTCCAGCTCTCAGAGCAGTTCTGTGGCCTCTTCTGGATTTGCTCCAGCAGCTCCAGGTCTTTCTGATGTCCCAGTTTTTAAATCACAATTTCCCATCCCAGAGCTTTTCCCATCCCCGTGTTTGCTGCCCACCCTCTGTGAGTGTGAATGTGCCCATGGAGCAGGAGAGATGCAGGGAATTGTAACTCTGGAATAGCCTCATCACTGGAACAGAATTCCACTGAATGTGGAAAGATTGATCAGAAGGCCAACATTAAATTGTCTTTTAATTCCCTGGAACAATTTTTTTTCTGTAGTTCTTCCTTTGCCCAAAAGCCTTCTTCTCACTGAAACTGGAGCAACATTAGCAGGTGCTGGGTGGGATTTTTCCTGATMTTTTGTCAGTGCCTGATAATTCCACTTTAATTCTCTGGGATTGAAACTGAGGTTCTGCTGGCCACCTAGCTCAGACACTCTCCTGCTCTCAGCCAGCTCCCAGCAGGCAGCAAATGTGGTTTCCTTTGGAAAACTGGCTGCAGACCACTGAAACATGTGCAGTTTTGCATTTGAATTAACACTTCAAGCCCCAGCAGCTGTGATTTTTCTGCCATTTGTCTCAGGAACATTAATACAGAACTTACCTCCACACCTCAAAGGAGTTTTAATACTCAAAAGCCAAAGTCATACTTAGGAAAAAAATAGCATTTTTTTCTTACAAGATGAAGATTTCTAAGATTTATTTCTAATTTTTTGAGTAAAACTGAAAATAGTTTCAGGTACTGGGGACAGAAAGGCTGCTTCAAAATGGAAATTTAATTAGATTGAGGTAGGAAGTTTAGCAGTAGGCGCTTTCCAGGTGTGGAAAAGTGATTTTACTGCAGTGCTGAAAGTTTTAACGGCAGAATGCATTCCATGGGGAAGGGATCCACTCAYCTAATGGCTTCATCCCTTTTGCCCTCCCTCTTTTTCCACAGGGGTTCATTTGAGGATTCCACCACCAGGTTTTACACGGCATGCGTGGTGGAAGCCTTTGCCTACTTGCATTCCAAAGGGATCATTTATAGGGACCTCAAGCCAGAGAACCTCATCCTGGATCACCGCGGTTAYGCCAAGCTGGTGAGTCCCAAAAAAGCCACCCCACAGGGGTTTGGCCAGAGAGGGTCAATAGCAGAGTCCCCACTTTGCTCAGGAGGTGCTGAGATGAGAGCAGGGTGAGGTGTTGTCACCAGCACCGGGATGTTTCCCCGATTTCCAGCAGGGCTCGGGTTCTGGCTGCGCTGAGGAAGGCTGATTCTGGCTTGGGATTCAGATCCTTGCTCCTGGAATGCTGAGGAAAGAGCATCAGGAGAAAACCACCCAGCTGTATTGGGCAGAAAATGGCCTTTTTGTCCCAGAACTGAGGGTGGAGGTGCCCTGATTGTTAAGGGCACCTCAAATGGCTGAGTAAGAGCATAGAGAGGGGGAGAAGAGAAGGAAGAGGTCCCTYGGTGGGAGGTGCTGGAATGTGGGCCCTTGGGAAGCCACCAGTGAGGGACAGGACCCCAAAAAGGAGYTGCTCCAGGAATGGCCGATGTCCCCTTGGATGTCACAGGGGACCAAGGTCTCTGCGTGTCGCTTCAGGGGCTCTTTGGGGTGGGAGCAGCTGGGGATGGGAACTCAGCCCATGGCCACTGCCTGGTGACAGCTCCACGTGGCACCCCATGAGTGACAGCAGAGTCTGTTCCCTGCAGCCAGGCCAGGGCCCCAGGGAGGTGTAGGGTGACAGAGGATGATGAAGAGTGGGACCATCCTTCTCCCTGCCCAGCAGGAGCTGGGTCTCTGCTGGCCCCATCACCAGCCCTGGATCCTCAGACATGTCCCAGGTGTCCCAGACCCGCTGTGGGCTGGGACTGTGGGGGGTCCTGACCAGCCCCAGTGGACTCCACTTCCCAGTGTAATCCCATTTTCCGTGCTTGCCAGTGCTGTGGGGACTCTGCTTTGGGCCACAGAGAGTTTGGTGCACTGCCTCSCTGTTACAGCAGCACAGAAACCCACAGCAGTCAGTGCTGAGCCTAAATCATGGAATCCTGGAGTGCTTTGGCTTGGAAAGGACCTCACAGCCCATCCATGTGGGGCAGCCACAGCTCCTCTGGGCACCCTGTGCCAGGGCCTGCCCACCCTCCCAGGGAACAATTCCTTCCCAATATCCCATCCTCCCTCTCTCAATTTAAAACTATTCCCTCTTGCCCTGTTAATTTAAATTTATAAGAAAAGAAGCAAAATTACGTGAGCTGTGAGTGATAGAAAGTTCCAACTCCCAAGAACCTCTCGGTGCTGGTGTTTGCCTCCCTCGTGGGAATATTCCTCAGCATCAATCAGCAAAAAGGTCACTGTGGTTCCCTGGTCCTGGAAYGACCCTCAGTGCTTTAATTAGGAGAGAATTCCTATGAGGAATCCTCCTTTCTGCCTTGTTTCACTTCAAGAGGAGCGGAGCCCAYGGCTGACATTCCCTCTGCCCCTTCCCTCAGGTCGATTTTGGCTTTGCAAAGAAAATAGGATTTGGAAAGAAAACATGGACTTTTTGTGGCACCCCAGAGTATGTAGCCCCCGAGATCATCCTGAACAAAGGTCACGACATTTCRGCAGACTACTGGTCCCTGGGAATCCTGATGTATGAGCTCCTGACTGGCAGGTATGGGCATTGGAATTCATCCCAACTTTTCTGCCCTCGTCACCCTGACGGGGCCAGGGCAGGGGCAGGGCTGGCTGTCCTGTGGGTTATCCATTTTGGTCCTGAATGGGCTGAACATGACAGGAAAAGGAAAAGGAAAAGGGAAAAGGAAAAGGAAAAGGAAAAGGAAAAGGAAAAGGAAAAGGAAAAGGAAAAGGAAAAGGAAAAGGAAAAGGAAAAGGAAAAGGAAAAGGAAA